AAAAAAATAAAAAAGATAATTGTAACTGTTTATCTCACAATTATGAGTTTATATTTTGCAATTCTGACTTTTTTCCTCACAATTCTGGGGGGAAAAGTCAGAATTACAAAATATAAAATCAGAATTGTAAGAAATAAACTCAGATTTTTGACTTTCTTGAATTCTAATTTTACATCTTGCAATTTGGTTTTCTTTTTTTCTTTTTTTTGCACAAAATACAATTTTTAAAAACGGTAATTGCAACTTTTCCCAATTCTGGCTTATTTTCTCACAATGCTGACTTTTTTCTGAGAATTCTGAGAAAAAATCAAAATCTCGAAAAAAAGGTCAGAATTCGGGAAATTCCGAGTATACATAAACAAAAAGACATAATAATGAGTGTCACATGCTGTACCTTGCTTCTCTGAAGTTCTTCAGGTGCTGGAGGCTCCTCAGCGCCACCCACTGGCACTGGAGATTTACTACAGACGGTAGGTCACGCTTTATATTTATGCATTTATTAGACGCTTTTATCCAAAGCAAGTTACACTCAAAGCATGCATGCATTCCCTGGGAATCGAACCCATGACCTTGGCATTGAGGGACACATTTTTCTTGATATTCAATGTGAAAATATCAGCATTTCCCATCACTCACAACGTCACAGGTGGATTGTCCCAGGATCGGTCTGCGTCCAGAGCGTCCTCCGTATCTCCTGAACTGTTGTGCTCCTTCACCGGCTCACAGAGAGCAACAGAAGACCAGTGTAACGCCTGCTCGGCTCTTAAGATCAGAGAACCAATCTTATCATCTAAACAGAGAAGCACAAGAGACCAGTGACCATTTTATCTGGAATGACATGGAGGCAGTATTGTGTCAATAACTAAAACTATTCAAAATCATTTTCATTAATAAAATTAAATAAAATAAAAACTTTAAATTCAGTTAGTTGCAACATTTCAAATTTTCATTTAGTTTAAGCTGAAGTACTAAAATAACTAAAACTAAAAAAAAAAAATTAAACCAATGAAGACAGCTAAAAAAAAAAAATTTTTTTTATATATATTTATATATATATATTTATTTTA